ACAGAAACTCCAATGGCTTTCCTTTTCCTCAACTGCCTTGTCTTCCTCTCAATGTTTCTACTGTGCTTTGTTCGTTGTGAACTCACTCCTTTGCTTCCCCCTTCAACATATCCCAACCCGACCTTCTGAAATACTTTGGGCTGAACAACTTCGGAAATATCCTCCCTGCTATATATGTTTTCGGCGACTCTTACATAGACGCCGGAAACAACTACTTGAAAACAATCGCCAAAGCCAACTACCTTCCTTATGGCATAGATTTTGCAGGAGGTCATCCAACTGGTCGTCTCACCAATGGGAGAACCGCCGCTGATTTTATTGGTAAAGTGTTGTGTTTCATTCATATAACCAGTGTTGTGTTTCGTTCTAAGTATGTTCATTAATTTAAATCTGTTTCGTGGTTCTTGTAGCTACTTCTAATTTCTCTTTATCTTTTAATGAAACAGCTCAACTAGCTGGACTGCCATTTCCTCCCCCTATGCTAGGGATGTCTGCTGCCGAAAAAGAGAATACTCTCACTGTAGTCAATTACGGCTCTGGTTCTAGTGGAATACAAGCTCTTCCTCCTACTGTAGCACCAATATTTGTGAGTTTTCATCAGTCCTTTTATCACCCTACTATGTGAGCTTGAGATTAAAAATTAAATTTAATGTTATGCTTTTTGGTTTTCAATCCACAGGGGCATGTTCTGCGCTTTGAGGAACAAATAAATTTGTTCAAGGAGACAACCGGCAACATGAGGAGTCGATTTGCCAGCCTTGAGAGCTTAGCTCTCTACATGTCCAAATCATTGTTCTTCATCCATATAGGGAGCAATGACTTGGGCGTATATTGGGAGTTTGGACAAAGAAATGCATTCTTTTCGAATGCAACCGAATATGCTCTTGGGTTGTCAAAGAATTTGTCTCGTGGATTGGAGGTAAATTACAGTTTCATATTCTTCTTTAGAGTTACAGTTGGATATTCAGGTTTAAAAATATTTGATTATAATGCAGGAAATTTATGAACTGGGAGCAAGGAAGTTCCTGGTAAACAATGTCCCTCCAATGGGGTGCTGGCCTGCCAATCTCAACATCCACAAGCCCAAGACCTCTTGTGTGGAAGATATCAACCAAAGGCTATCTTACTACAATGGAGTGCTTCCCAACATGTTGAAAAACTTGGAAGCATCCTTGAAGGGGTCTACTTTTGTGGTTTGTGACCTATACCGGCTGTTTGGATATGTTTTTTCCCAGCCCGCTGCCTATGGTGAGAAATGAATTTCCCTTTTCTCAATTTAACAAAATAGTGTGAACAATTTGTTGGTTGCAATGCAGGGTTTTGGAATGTCAGTGGTTTTTGCTGCCCCGATTCAGCAGGGAATGGCACAAGAGAATGTGCTAAAGGAGGCGTTCCCTGCATGGATAGAGAAACCATCGTCTTCTTCGATCCAGTCCACCCAACTGAGAGATTCCATTTCCAATGGGTTCGGTCCTTCTTGCTGGATGACTCCCTCTGCTCCCCTTACAATTTGTTAGAGTTAATACAACTTTAGATTTTATTAATAAAGTTATTTTTGGGTGTAGTATTCACTTCCTTGATGTTTGCATAATCTCAGCATTAGTTATTTTTGAAATTAATAATTCCATTATTAACAATGATCAACAGAACATGAGTACAATTTAACTAAATACATATGTCGAGATTAATTATCATTTCATTCGATGCTAAATTAAACATGGTTTAATTCACATTCGTTTCTTAAAAAGTTCAGATCAAATTGCCGGCATCATGCCGAACCACCAAACCATCACGTCAAGCAGCTTTTGGGTTACATTGTGACAATCTTAAGGATTTGACAAATTGTCATTCGTCCCAACACATAGAACATCCATAGAATACTAGCATAACATTATATTATGGATCGACACCCCTTGGAAAAATTGTAAATTAACATTAGCACTTTCATTAGAATTTTCAATTAACATTAAATGTTTAGCACTTTCATTAGAATTTTCAATTAACATGAAATTCTATTTAATTTAAAAGCAATTACACCAGCATTTTCACTATCTGTTAATCACTTCTATTTCTTGGATAAAACCTTTCAACATGCGAAGTCACTTCTATTGCTTGGATAAAACCTTTTAACATGCGATTTTAATAAAAAATGGTAAATTAATTAAGCTACCCTTTGTTTTAGTTGAATATCATAAATGTGCAATCTACTTTTTTTTTGTTGTGTAAGGGTTAACTGTTACAGTTTATGTTTGCCCAAGGACATTACACTCTAAATGAATTAGTGGAACGATTGTGTTGTTCAATATGCACGACAACCAGAGAATAACATATATTTTTTATTATTGAATACATAATTTCATTTTAATTTAAAAAATAAAGGAAGAAGTAAAATATACTGAGAATTTATTATATTATTTTATGATTGAGAAAATATTAATTACATGTTGAGACTTAAGATTATATTATTTTATACAATCTTGTGTTTGAATTTGCATCGACTATTTGGTTATTTTGTTTAAACTTGAATGTGTCGGAGCTCCATATTTTATAAAACAATATTAAAAATTTCATTGTGAATGGTGTTATATTTAAGATGTAAAACCTAAATGTGACATTATAAGCCCAAGGTGTTAACATATAAGGTATAAGGTGTAACAATTATCAACTAAGGTAAGATAAAGGAAGCTAGATTATATGATCTAAAGTTCTCATAATAATTCTTTAATTGCCTTACAAATATATATTTAAACATACAAAAAGTAGTAGATTGACTAGTGTTATAATTAGGGATGGCAAAAAAAATCGAATCCGTCGGGGAAAACCGAAAATCGAATTAAACGGGTCGGGTTCGGGGATAATTAACAAGGACGGGGAAAAATCGAATTTTTTAAACGGGGACGGGGAAAAATTGAATTTTTTAAACGGAGACGGGTTTAGTATTCCCCGCCCCGATTACCTGAATACCAGATCCGATAAATATTAAAAAAATTATTATATATATATATAATATTAATAAATTTAATTTAAATTAAAAAAATATATAAAGAAGATTAGGATTTAGGAGAACACATCTTAACCTACTCGTCACTTTTCCTGCGGCTGCTCTCAAGTCTTGCTTCGCCGATCTTCACCTTCCCTGCTCCGCTGCTGGTGACTTCACTTCGTCAGCCAATCTTCCTTTCCCTCGCCACTTCGTCGGTCGATCTTCCCCTTCCCTAGTGACTTCTAGTGGTTTCTAATTTGTATCTTGTATTTATTTGGTTTCTAATTTGTATGTTGTATTTATTTCAGTCTATTGGAGAAGAATCGAAGCAAGATTGCCATTATGACAAATATGTGGACATCAAGTAATAAAAAAAGGTTTCATGTCAATCACATCGCATTTGATCGATGATAACTGGGAGATGCAAAGCCGAATAATGAGGTACTTTAAACTTACCTTTGCTAGCTAGGTACTAAATTAATAAATACAACAACTTGTTCACAAGAGTCTGAAGCATATTGTAAAAGCATCGAATATAATCGTGATGATGGTGACGATGTATTAAATTGATATACAAGTTATACGTGATATCATTAACTTTTTTTTTATAAATTTTGGTGGCTTATAATTTTTTTTTGTGTAATTGTAGCAGTCGGGGGTCACAACTGTTTGATGACGGTGGTGGTGTCGTTGACGTGACTTGGAAGTTGGAACTTTGGAAGAATGATTTCGTTTATGAAAGTTGAAGCATTATATTATTAGTCGCTGTCATTATATTTGTCTATTTGAATTGTTTTGTTTTTATATTTTGGATGCATTTGGTGGTGTTTGGCGTTTCAAGTAAGTTTAGATCTGATAATGACATTGTTTTTTAAATAACTTGTGTCATCGTGTGAAATTTAAACAGTGACAGGAATCCATGCGGTGAAAAATAACCATCTAAGGTAAACGGTTATTTAAATGGGTAATTTTCACCGCGATTATCCTCGTGATGAAAATTACCCATTTAAATAACTGTTTATGCTAAACGGGGATACCCGTTTCCCCGCGGTTTTCCCCGATTACCCGATGGGGATCCCTATTTAAATCCCCACGTTTTTTAATCAAGGACGGGTATAGATTTTTAAACAGGGACGGGGACAGGGGGACCAATCCCCGGCCCGAAACCGCCCCGTTGTTATCCCTAGTTATGATAGGCATCAAAATCTCAGAATATGTTAAAACAATTTTAAAACATTTATGATATGCAAAAAATACTTCTTTCCTAATTTTTACAAATAAGGTTTGCATATTGCTTTTATTTACCATTCTTTTAGTGAATTTTTATCAGGCTCCACGATATGAGTTTATGAATCAAGAGTTTTGATGTCATCAAATGTAATTCCCTAAATCAATTCAAATGTTACATTGAATCTTGAAGGTCACATTAAACACCGAAACAATTTAAAATTCATTTAAGAAATTTTAGTCAATGTGAAAATATAATTAAAAATAATTTATTCATATAGATAACTAATTATCACACTCATAAAAAGTGATGTTACAAACATTTATTAGTATCTAGAAATTAAATTTAAAGATTTGATGGGTTATGATAGAAACTTTTGATATAAAGGCTCCAATCATCCTTATGAATTCACAAGAACATTTCAGTAGACACTAGTGTAACATTATGTAATGGAATTCTCATAACGAGTTAAATCCAGTATACACTTCTCATAGGAAACACATATAAATTATTCAAGTACCTACAAGCTTTAATTATGATACACACGGTCGTCGTGGCCTTCCATCACCTACAGGCTCCGACGAGGAGCCAAATCGGTGCTAAGCTCACCCTAAAAAAATAACCCCTCAATCCGACAGTTGATATGTTTCGGCGGCAACTGGTTCACATTAGGGTAAATAAACTCTAAAAGGATCTCATCCTCTGGATCGATCTGGGCTGTCAAATTCGTCTCTGATCTGATGACTTTGAGACTTCTTTAAGGTTATGAAAATCCTATTTTAGTATAATCTAGACCGTCAGATTGGTTAACATATCTGACAGCTCCAAGTTTCTGGTGGCATTGGACCTTGGATTAGAACTGATATGTTTTGGGTTTTTGCACGTATGGGCTCTCTTGTTGGTCCCATAACCGGGGTCACTTGCTGGATCAGGCTTGTGAGCTTGGTTGGGCCTAGATGCTAACTGGACAATCACTTTCAGCCCTGGACTTGGACCACTTAACTTTGGACCCAGATCTGCAATAATATATAATAATAATAATAAATAACAATAAAAATATTATTATAAATATGAGAAGTGTGTATACATATATATTTATAATCATATACTATATACAATCTCTTAATATATATATATATATATTAACCTAACACATTTATGTAAATTTCCAAAACTATATATATTACTATAATGTATATTATAATTTTCCAATATATATATATATATATATATATATATATAGATATATAGAGAGAGAGTAAACTACCATAAAACAAAATAAACCAAAACAAGTAAAACTATAATGAAAATAAAGTAAATAAAAAAATTTCGGACAAAAACAAGTGTCTACAGATAACTAGTCACACTCATAAAAAGTAATGTTACAAACATTTATTAGTATCTAGAAATGAAATTTAAAGATTTGATGGGTTATGATTGCAAATTTTGATCTAAAGGCTCCAATCATCCTTATGAATCCATAAGAACATTTCAGTAGACACTAGTGTAGCATTATGTAATGGAATTTTCATAAGTTAAATCCAGTATACACTTCTCATAGGAAACACATAAATTATCCAAGTACCTACAAGCTTTAATTATGAAATCGGTTTCATGCATCAAATGCATAGACTCTTAATATATGTGAGTCTACAAATTTTGTTCAAGAATACATTTAGAAACATGACTTTGATTAATAAAATTCTTATAATTTTATTTTAATACAATTTGGATGGCAACCACAACACCGTTTTGCTTAACCTTCGATGACAGTCTCAAATTCACAGAGAAGTATTTTATCTTTACCATCAATAATAAATGCTATACAATTAAAAAAACGACACTAGCACTTTAACTATCTGGCAATCACTTTATTATTTGGATTAAACCTTCCAACGAAGGATTTCAATAAGAAATGGTAAAAAGGTTAAGGTAGCAGATTTTTTTCAATATCATACATCTGCAATCTATTTTTTTTATTATTGAATAAAACATTACTTTTTAATTTAAAAAAATAAAAGAGAAAAATGAAACAAGAGTCATAACGCATTAGAAATTTATTATGTTAATGTAAAACTGAGAAAACATTAGTATCATGTTTAGACTTGAGATTGTATTAGTTGGATCAAGTTGATAGGATAAGAAACCGATGAATCCTTTAACAAACGTCTTGCCCATATAAAATGCATACTCTCTGTAGGGTTGAATCCATCAAAGAAAACATTGCTACTTCTATCTTTGCACAGTTCTATATTTTCAACGCACAGTTCAGCTGTACCAGGATTTATTTTACTACAACAAGGGCTCCATACTTGTCTAAATCCTGCAAATTATATATATATATATATATTGAAAAATAAAAAAATATCAATTTTGATTTGTTAAGGATCGATTTAAGCTTAAATATTACATAATACTTACCATATGATGCAGGCGATTTAAAAACATCTTCAAAAATCTTATATAGATCTACAAGAACAAACTGTGATTTTGGAAGTGTGGATTGCAAATCATTTGTTAAATTAGATAGCATCTGGTTAAATAACATTGCCCTTTCATTGGGTACTTCGTTGCAATTGTCACGTAAATTTAAATGTGGTTGGCATCCTAATGGAAAAGCGTTATTCACCACAATTTTACGAGCACCGAGTTGATATAATCTCTTCATGCAAGTCAAAATAAAACAATAACTAAATATTAAATTATCTTAATAGTTAAATTTGGAATTATTACTAGGTGTTTTAATATTTTTCTTTACTTCATTACCTGCAAATGTTCAGATAAATCTTTTATAATAAGTTGATGATGATAGAAATCATGATAGAAATAACCCAGTCCTGCCCACGCGAGATCTAAGTCGAAAGAAATTGTGTTAATGAAAAGTAAAGATCCTGACATGTACTTGGAAAAACTTTCCTCGCTTCCAAATTGACTTCGTAACTTTTTTGTTGTTTGTTCAAATAATTCTACTTGTTCTTTCAAGGCCGGCATCGGGTCCTGGTGGATACAAATTCTAATTAAAAAAATAATTATTATATTAATTGCATATTTTTTTAATATTGTTCTATGATGCAATTACGTCCAAGATAAATAATAAATAATCATTATCCAGTAAACAAGTTAAGAAAAGATATCTTAGTCTTACGAATAGTTTGTCATATAATCTACAGATGCCGGTGAAACCAGTAGCATAATTTAAACCAGTTTGAGGAACTCTCTTAGCATCTTTAGACAAACTTAGTACTGGTGGAGGAAATGGCAAACCAGTAAATTGAGCTGCACCATAAAATAAATGGTAGAAAATTAATTAATTACTCTTTCACATAAAAATAAAATAGACTTCTGACTTTAAATTAAATTATTAATAATTACAGTTAAAAGTTTACTGTAATTTTTTTATTGAAATGAAGGTGTTAAGATTTTCATATTAGAGTAAAATTGTGGACTAATTAACTTCTTACCAATGAAATCTGTTACTGTTCTACCATTGGTGTAACGACCGGTGGGTTTTCCATCAAAATCTATTCCATACGGAGAATAAGTACTTTGAATTCGAGGTAAATTGAGATAATTATTATTTCCTGCATCAACAAAATTGTCTCCAAATACGTATAAAGCTGGAAGATCCAAAGTAATGTTGTCTAATGACAAATGCTTCAAAATTGACTCTTTACTAATTTCAAATGATGGCACCGGAACCACATCTGAAAATCCTAATGAAACTACTTTAAAAAAGAGAAACAAATTGAGAATGCAATTCATAACTTTCATGTTTGTTTTCCTCAAATTGAAAAGTGAAAAGCTGATGGTTATACTTGAACTAAATTAATATTTATACAGGGTACTGCTCTTTCGGTTTTTATTACTTAATTTTACAAGTTTATAATTAACTTTAGGTTACCTGCTTTTATTAAGTGTTAAATGTTTCAAAGTTCAGTTTTAACAAATAATCATTCCGTATTTTTACTTTTTTATGCAACTTACAAGATAATGTAACTTAAAAATTTATTACTCAGCAATGTTATCAAAACCGGACTGGACCGGCCGGTTCGACCGATTGAACCGGGAACCGGTTGCATGTCCGGTTAGCCTCCAAAGGTAGTTTTACAATGAACCACTAAAGAATCGGTAGAACCGGTGTGAACCGACGATTCAAGCGGTTCACACGGTTATGTTTTTTTTAAATTAAACCAAACGACGTCGTTTGTTATGATTTTTTTCAGCCCCAAATTTATTTTTTGATTTTGCATCTGGGTTAAGCCATTTTCACAAACGTTTGCAAGCTTTTCCCAATATTTTGGAATTTGAGGGAATCAATTTCAATGAATATTATGATGATTGATACTTGTATCAATTATGTACTTTTTTTTATTTAGTTGTTGATGAATTTCATCTTGGGTCATAATAAGTGACAAACTTAAGAAAATTATCGAACACAATTATTAAATATTATTCAACTAATAGCAATTTGGTATTTGAATATAATTTTAAATACAACAAACTTACAATAAGTATTAAATGGTAAATAAAAAAATTACAATAACTGAAATTAAATGGTAATAAACAAAATTAAAAAAATTAATTAACAAAAAGTCCAACAAAATTTACAAAATAAATTAAGTATTAAATGATAAATAATAATAAAAATTAAAATAAAGAAAGTCCAATAAACATGTAAATACAAATATAATAAAATATAAAAAACTATCGATGTCTGCGGTGCGAATGTGTTCCGCAGGGCTGTGGCTGTCGGTCTCGAGGAGGATTTCTTCGTATAACTGGTTGTGACTCATCACTGTCATCATCATCACCATCATCATCATCGTCGTCATCGTCGTCAGGAGCAGATATATTTTGTTGATGAGGAACTGATGACGATGTAGCACTTCCATAGAATAAGGACCCTGGAGGTGTATGACTGACTAACCCACCGCTCATAGAAAACTGGGAAAACTCAGAAAACAGAAACATCGATGAATGAGAAAACTATATAGGAGGTGTTTGTGCGGCGGCCATCGGTGATGAGTCTGCACCCGCCAAATAACCAGTATATGAACCCCAAGTCGGATCTGCAAACATATACCCATAATATCCTCCAGGAGGGGTTTGTGACGATGGCGACGGCAGCGGCAACAACGTCAGCGTCTAGTAAGGGAAAAGTAGTGGCGACATCATATATGGCTGTGGCATGTAGGTCGCTGCAGATGGTGGTTACTGTGAAGGTCATGTTGGTGCAGCTGAGGACGAACTGGAAGCACCTGCTCTCCGTCTACGAGTTGGGGGACGATGGGGTTGTGACGGTGCACGTCTCTATCGACGTCAATGAAAGATTCGCCCTCGTGCATCCTCAGAAAGCAGAAACAGTTTCTCGTTACTTTTGAACAACTCATAATAATCATCTGCAACCGTCAAGAGGTCATCATAAATGGGCTCTCTATGGGGAAGGCGCCGATGTTGATCCTCCCACATCACGATCCACTCATGATGCTTCACTAGCCAATCTGTATCCGCCTTTCCGCGTCGATCTGTGTTATGCAACTCGTCCATATTGCGAGGTGCTTCCGGAAATATTGGCTGTACAAAACCAAATTGCCGGAGCACGTGATTAGTGGAGTGCCACTCGATAATTGCATAGTAGATCAGAGGGACCACCACCATCCAAACATCTGATGGGCCCCTCAACTCAGGTGGGATGCACATCCTCACATCATCATTAGAATATGGAACACATTCAAACTAAAACAAAGTTATATAATTCTTATCAAAATAATAATCTAATTATATAACTATAATACAAAATCGATTTTTAAACATTAAAATGCATACCTCTGTGCCAGCCTTCTGATCGATTAACACCCTTATTTTTTCTAAATCATCAGGTAGCTCCCGATAATTTTTCCTGTCAGTAGACCACCTATTCAAGGAAATTTTTTTATTATACACTGGATAAATTGATTAATATACGAAATCAGTTTTATAATTACCTCAATAGTAGCGGAAATACGAACGGGTTTTTCACAACAGGACATAAAAAGGGCAATTGATACCATGCCCAAGACTGCAGCAGAAGGAGACATCCGCCGATAGTATTTTTCCTGTAGTCAGTCGCTCGACAAATCTCCCTATATAGGAATGCCAAAACTGCCGAGCCCAAACTCAGTGATCCGGCCAGATGAAAGTCGCCAAGATGTCGCAATGACATACAGTGAACTTGGTTGCCCGATTTTGTCCGGCATCAGCAACCCTCCTATCAGTTGTAGTTTGCATGCTCGTGTATACATTTTAACTTGATCCTCTGAGGCATCCTTACTCAATTTTTGAAAATTGGCATCTAATCAATGTAACGGTATCTGACCACTGTTAAAATTTCGCGGGACACCTCCTAGATAATTATGGCACAAAGTAGTCCAATTACCGTGCGTCATCCCTAAAATCACATCTCCATCCACCGGAAGCCCCCAAGTGCATAGAAACATCCTCAAGTGTAATCGTGCACTCTCCGCACAGAAGATGGAATGTGTGGGTCTTCGGCCTCCACCACTCCACTAATGCAGAAATAAGGTTTGGTTCTATCTTACGATGGCCTTCATATCTAGCTATGTGACCAAATTTAAGGTTCCTAATAAAATGATCTAATATACAGTCGCTCTCCTAAAATATTACAAAAATTAATTTATAAACTAATAATCATGCATTAAATAAATAAATTATTGCTAATAATTTAAATTAAATTAAAATGTAAAAATGTTACTGTATTAACATAATGACTCGATATATGATTTCCATCCAAACGAAGCAGACAACCTTCCATTTTATAACTGTAAAAAAATTAATTAAATAAAATATTAAAATAATTTAAATAATTAAATAAAATACTAATAAAATATAAAATAAAATAAAATATACCTTAAGTTGAGAGGATTTGAGAGAAGTTGAGCATTTGAGAGGATTTGATGTGATGAAAATGATTGAGAATTGAGGTATTTATATGGGTGAGAAAGGGGTGTGAACGGTCTGAAATTAAAGCAAAGACGCAACCCCTGCACCGCGCCTTTCTGACGCATGTCAGAATTAAAGCAGAGGCGCGGCCCCTGCACCGCGCCTTAGCCAGCGTGTTTCCATATCAGCGTAAGGCGCGCTTCAGGGGGCGCGCTTCAGGGGCGCGCCTTACCCCACGTGGTGTCAAATCAACGTAATGCGTGCTTAAGGGGGCGCGCCTTCCTGCAAAGGGTGTTAGATCGGAAATAAATCTAAACGGTGTCTGACAGAGAATAAATGATTATAAGGGTGATTTTTCGGGAAATTCACCATTTTATTATCTTTCTTCAAACATATGAACATAAAAAATCATAAATAACAATAATAGATTTTAAAATAAATAAGTACAAAAAACTTATCAGGTGGATTTAATAGTTTATGGGTGTATGTATATTATTTTAATAAAAATAAAACATTAAATTGTATTTTAACATTTTACCCTTCCGCTATAAGTGCCAATGGTTTACTTATTCATTCTTTTCGCTTTGCTTAGTCTGTAAGAGCAGCAGAATTTATCAAGCGAGTTGATCGTGATTTAAGTAGTATTTGATTCGTGTTCGTTGAAAAAATTGTTATTCGAGTTGACTCGTTGTTTGTTAAACTCGATATATTTTTTTGACTCATACTCGTTAAAAAAAGTTGTTGCTCGACTTAACTCGACTAGTTGTTCGTTAAGTTCACCAGAATTTTTATTTTATTTTGTAACTATATGTAAAATCTAGTCAATTAATAATTAATAAATTATTAATAATTTAGCATATTTTTTATTATCTATGAGTAAATTAGTAATTATTAGTTAGATTTTTTAATGAATATTTTTTATGATAATTACTAAAAACAAATAATGAACTGCTCGCGGACTTACTGAGTCAAGTTGGACCTTACTCGACTCAATTCATTAAGGTCTCGAATAAAGCTTGAATTTGAGTTAAATCAATCTGAATCGAACGTTAATTGAATTTTAACCGAATCAGATTCGAGCAAATTACAAACTGCTCAACTCATTAAGGCCCCTAGTATCTCCTTTGAAATTCCACTCCATCTATAATTTTTTAAACATATAACCTTTGTTATCTTTAATTGTTGTATATTACATGTAACACAAAAACTTTTTTTTTAATAATGATACCTGAATTTTATTAATAAAACAATGGATGGAAATGGAATTACAATGCACCCAAGAATAGAGAAAAAATGGGGACAATAGTCACAAAAAAATTCATACAAAAACAAAAATATTAAACTCAAAGATACCAAGAAAAATGAAAATCTTCACTTGAAAATGATAACCAACATCAAAAGAACCCAATAACCTTTATAAAAATTCATTGTCTTTATCGAATGATACACTTTACAAAGTGATAAAGGAGTGGTGAGTGAACTAAACTATCTAGTAGACTCCTTTGCTACACAATTTTGATTATGTCGTCAAACAACCTTTTCTCAAAGAGGAATCTAATTACACGTGACCACCGACAAACCAATCAAAAAATAAATGTCGTGAGGTTCATTGTGTGAGCACAAAAATGACTGTAAAGATATGTGAAAAACATATCAAAAGCCATAATAATCGTGCCACAAGAGTAGAGAAAACGTGTGCCACAAGAGTAGAGAAAACGTGTGACACAAGAATAATGAAAAGCGTGCCACAAGGACAAAAATTCTTATTCAAAATTGAAAAAAAAAACCCAAGAAAAAAAGGAAATCAAAGGACATAGTATGAAAAAAAACAAGAGAACTAATAATCACCAACAGTCAACAACTAAAATTAAAATTGATGTTGTCGTTGACTAAAAAAAAATCAAAAAAAAAAAGAGAAAAGAGAAAGACGTTACAAAATTATTGAGAGAAAACTTATGAAACACAAAATCTTAATTTTATTCTTTATGATTTTTAATATTTACAATTTTTAGAATAACTTTTATAATTTTATAACATTCTGTGAAAGTTTATAATTTTTTTGATATTTTTACAATATTTTTATAATTTTACATATAGTTTTTATATTTTATAATATTATATATTTAATTTTTTAAAAGTA